GGATCAAAATTCACTTTCAGCTTTGAGGCAGAGCTTATCCCTACATAAGAAACAGAAAGGACAATTTCCTGTTGGTTTCATTTGCCACACGAACCCAGCAGAAAACCATAATCTGCTTTGCCTGCTTTTCCACTTAGCATAAACAATGATTTGCTTTAGTGCAATAAATCCTAGCTAGTGATTGGATCAGTGTCCATAACTGTAGTTTAGCATGATGTGAAAACTTACTAGGGACATATGCTTAGTTTGCATGCTGCTCAAAGCTTCCACAAACCCATCAAGATGTTTATTTTATTATTTATTTGTTTGTTTGTTTGTTTGTTTGTTTGTCAAGCAAGTATTAGATAACAGGTATAAGTATAAACATGGTTGTGAATACATGAAATGGATACGAATAAAAAAGAAACAATAGGACAGGGATGGTAGGCACATTGGTGCGCTAATGCATGCCCCCTACAGACCTCTTAGGAAAAGGGTGAGGTCAATAGTAGACAGTCTAAGGTTAAAGTTTGGGGGGGTTTGGGGAAGAAACCACAGAGTCAGGTAGAGGATTCCAGACATTGACCACTCTGTTGCTGAAGTCGTATTTCCTGAAATCAAGTTTGGTGCGATTAACCTTGAGTTTGTATCTATTGTGTGCTCTTGTATTGTTGTGGTTGAAGCTGGAGTATTCATTAACAGCTAGGACATTGCAGTAGATAATTTTATGTACTATACTTAGATCGGACCGAAGGAGGCGTAGTTCTAGGTTGTCTAGGTCTAAAATTTCAAGTCTGGTGGCATAAGGTATTCTACAACGACTAGAGGAGGAGTGGAGAACTCTTCTCGTGAAATATTTCTGGACTTTCTCGACTGTATTAATATCTGTTATGTAATGCGGGTTCCAGACTGATGAGCTGTATTCAAGTATTGGTCTAGCAAATGTTTTGTATGCTCTAGTTAGTAGTGTGATATTACCGGAGAAAAAGTTATGCAGGATTAGGTTAACAACTCTTAATGCCTTTTTGGCTAGACAAGGAAAAAAAGCCTCAGGAATTGGCCAAGCAAGCCGTGATTACTTTGTATACAAGCAAGAGACAGGATTGATTGAGGAGTCCTTGATGCTCTCTGAGCTGGGTTGTTTTCTTTCCTTACCCAAACTAGGTAACATCATCAGTGCTAGTTAGTCTAGTACAGCGGTGTCAAACTCATGTCATCACGGCATCATCACGTGACGTATCGCAACTTTTTTCCCCTTCATTAAACCAGACATGGGCGTGGCTAACATGTGACACATCCGGCCCATGGGCCATGAGTTTAACAACCCTGGTCTTCTACCTGATGATGTTACCAAGTTTGGGTGAGGAAATGTGTTATGATATGTACAGAATAACCCTTCAGTAACAAGGATATGCACATGGAAACGTTTATGAGAGTAGTTATGAATAATTATTCAGCCACACATAGCTACACTGAATTGAGTTAAAGTTTACTTTAAGAAATAGCACAGTCCAATAAACAGTCCAGGTCATATACGTTTAACAGTCCAAAGAATATCCAATTACAAAGTCTTCTTACCGGTTGCCTTTTTCATTTACAGTAAGCAAAATTATCAAAGTATAAGGACAGCAGCAACAGAATGTCAGAGAAACAGAATGTCAGAGAGGCAGAATGTCAGAGAGAACAAGCCACGATCTCTAGAACCCTCTTATGGCAATTCACAATACAATCAACCAATCGGAATCAATACAGTGATTTTGTCTTAAGGCTACAAACATACATTGTTGGTTTATATATTGCCAACCCAACTAATTGTTGGACAGATTCCTAACAAAATGTCTGCAAGAAAACAACCCAGAGCACCAAGGACCTTTCATTTCAACACTGAGCTATAAATATTCTTCTTTATTGGTAAGAGGGCTGATTAATAAACAAACCAATGGCTTAATGCAGGGGTGTCAAGGCCCATAGGCCAGATTTGGCCTGTGGGGTGTTTATGTTCTGGCCCAGGCTTCGTCAAACTGAATAAAAATACAAACTGAATTTAAAAGTAAAACCTTTTTTTATTGCGATGCTGGGAACTACTTGCATTCCCAACCAAAACTCATTAGTCACAGTTTCTCCAGATAAGAGCATGCTTTTCAATGCTGTCGAATGCTGCCAAGAAACGGAAGTCCAATTAAGGCTAACATAAACCAACCCAAAAACCCAGAAAAAACCGACCAGAGTAAAGAGCTTCACGAAGGACTCGGAGATTACTGAACTGCTTTGCTTCCTGCAAAGCTCTTCGTCATTGAGGTCTGACTTTTATCCCTTATGGGAGGGGCAATCACCTCCCAGCCTTACTCCCAAGTCTCCCCTTCTGCTTCAGCTGCTCTCGCCTTCTAGCAGCTCTGAGCACACGCGCACAGGGAACAGGCTCCCCTGGGTCCTCTGCTTCGCTGCTGCCAGACTCCAAAGGCTCCAAAAGCAGCACCCCACTCCCAGATGGTCCTAGCCCCATCCCTGCATCGGATGCAGGACCCTCATCCAAGTCCTCACCCGACTCCCTGACTGGTTCCCTTTTGTCCTCACTGTCCGATACCTCTGTTGTCTGCACCGGCTGCCGGCAAACCCCAACAGTTTAGATCTGACCCGCAGGGCCGTCCTGGAAACAGTGGACCAGCCTGCGGTGCCTCTACCGGCGCAAATGGAACTCAGGCAGGCCGCAATGGCCTCCTGCAGCCTTCTGCCAGTGAAAACAGAGCCCAGGGAGACCACGTGCAGTGCGCTAGGCTCCATTTTTGGCTGCTATGGGCTCCGTTTTCACTGGGCTGCATGAGGCTGTCACAGTGAAGTCCATCTGGCCATGCCCCCCCTGACCACACACACACCCCCAGCCCCTTGAGGTCAAACACAACCCTGATGTGGCCTTCAATGAAATCAAGTTTGACACCCCTGACTTAATGTGTTTTGTGTATTTAAGGAAGACACGCACAAGATTTGGCTGTTTAGTACAAAAAACTACTGCCTCATATCTGCTTCTAGAATATATTGTTCTGCAATGGAGCCTCTTTTTTTGACAACCTAAGTCACTCCTAGTCAAGAAACATTTAAACACGGTTTTCTTGAAACCGATTTTATAGAATTCTGGATTCTGGCTACTGATTTTACAGGAGTGGATTCTAGTTGCAGACAATTTTAGGTGTCTGCTTAACACTCAACTCCCTATTCTCCCATGCTGCCAACATTTATTAATATTTTTATATTATTATATTCTTTCACCTCCAGCTTTTCTTCTAATCTGCCACAAGCAGAAATTATCACTGTCATGGGAAGTATGGATAATGGCTCTTTGCATTATCAAAAAGACTTCTCTAAATCTCATCACAAATTCATTAAACAGCAACTGCCCCGTTAATGAACTAGCGACAGAATTAGGTTTTAAGAACACAGTGCTTCTCCCCAAAAAACCAACCAAAAATCCAACTTTCTTTTCTTTTATTATTTTGTGTGTTTAATAAAAACTTTTAAAACATTTTTTTTTTAAATCCAACTGTGCCTTTAATCTTAAATGCTTGTACAGCATCCGAGGGAATGGTCAACCAACAGTACAAAATATTAAAAAGCTGCAAGAAAGAAATCTTAAATCTTAAGGCTAACTCAGAAAAATAAGAACCTCAAAACTTGTTTGGGTTTCCCACAAAGATGAAGGGAGTCAACCTATTCTCCAAAGCTACAGAAGGCAGGACAAAAAACAATGGATGGAAACTAATTAAGGAGGGAAACAACCTGGAATTAAGGAGAAACCTCCCAATGGTGAGGACAATTAACCAGTGGAATAGCTTGCTATTGTTGCTAATGTGGGTGCTTCATTACTGGAGGTTTCTATAATGAGACTGGATGGACACATCTCAAATTGTACAGGGTCTCCTGCTTGAGCAGGGGGTTGGACTAGAAGACCTCGAAGATCCCTTCCAGCTCTATTTTGATTGTATTGTTAAGTTCCGTCTATTTTGGTAAATGTCTATGGAGATTCTCAGTCATTCAGGTCGTAGTTGTCTCAAAGGTTCTTTTTCTTTTTCAAAAGGCAACTGGACTTTTTTTTTTTGTTTTTTTGAGGAAAAAGAAGTTTTGCTTTGCTGATCAAGCTTCTTGGACCAGAAGCCAAACTTCTTCCTCAAAAAAAAAAAAAAAAAAAGAACCAAGTTGCCTTTTGAAAAAAAAAACACCTTTTCAGTCCACATTGGTAGAAAATTACACAGCTGTATAAAGATGAGGCAACAAAAATCAAAGGTAAGTTATTGGGCTAATTTACTGAAGGTTAAGGAAAGTCTTTGAATTTGTAAGAAAATTTATCCTGAGACAGAAAGAAGAGAAAATAAGTTCTAAGGATGCTATGGGCAAAATCCTGCTAAGGCCAAATTCATTTCTGTGTATTTTAGCTTTTCTCCAAGGCGATACAGTAAATATAATGATTGTGCTAATCCTAGAGACACACTCAAACAATATTTACAATTTCCCATGGTTTTGCACTCAAGAATACTTCAATTCATCTGATTGTTATCAGATGGGGCAGGTTAACACCGTTTTTTTTAAAATCTCATTCCCTAACCTCCTCTTTCTTGTTATCTTTTGCAAATACTCTTTTGAACATAACCTAAACATTCAGAACAGCTCCTGACTTTACATTTAGTGGATCCAACAGAAATAAAATTTGTTCCGTGTTTTTTGTCTGACTATTACAAATCTGGTTTATAATGTGGAATTCCAGAAAAAATGTGTATTTTTTTTATTAAAAAGGAGTTAAAATGCATAGCCTATCATCATTATTATGTAAAATGGATATCTGAATTTCCAATTAGCAAGGCCCATTTTTATCTTGTTAGACTTATGTCCTGCTTTTTCTTCAGGCGGTCAAGGTAGCACGTAGGGATCTCCGCTTTCTAATATGACCATGAGGCCTGGGGATTATTGGTATTGTAATCACAATGCATCTGGAGGGAACCCAACTGGAAACAGAACATAGGAAGTCTACTTACAAAAGAGGAATCTCAACAATCAGCTGAATGAGGCAGCAGAGTAATTCTTCCATAAGATCTTCATATTCAGATCCTAAAAGAAAATAAGGAAAATTTATTAGATATTTCAACGTTAGTACAGTAATTTTGCTTCCAAATTTCCAGTTACCAAAGTTTAAACTTCACCAGCTTTTTTAAAAAAAAACAGTGTATTTTTAAAAATGGCTCAAAAATAGCTGGCTGAAATACAGGCTAGGAATTGGATTCAAATTAAAAACACCATGTTTTCAGATTGTTACCGTGTTTCTCATATAATAAGGCTGCGTCTTTTTTTTTTTTTTTTTGAGCCCCGAAAAAATGGCTAGGTCGTCTTTTCGGGGGTGACTTAATTTCCCCCCCCTTGCATCTTCGGGTGGGCGGGCGGTGACAGCTTGGATGTTGACCTCGGCGTTGGTGGGGCACTTCATATTGGTGTCAACGCAGGCATCACCATATCCGGGTGTGCAACAAAAGTACTTCCTAACGGCAAGCCCCCCCCCATTTCGCATGTTTTAATATAGGCCTTAATTTGGGGGGGGGGGCTTAATTTCATTTCATGCCTATAAAACATGCTGGGACTTCCTATTGGGGGAGGCCGTATTGTTGGAGAAACAGGGTATTATTACACCTTCTAAATGGCAACAATTAATTCTAGGTTATCTAGAAATTGGTTAAAAGTCTCTATCAAACAGAAATCAAACTTTAAGGAAAGAAAGGAACTTGTGAAAACATTTTTGGTAGAAAAGAAGAAAATGAAACAGAAATTTAATCTATAATTCTATTTGCTTTACCATTCAGTTTCATTCAAGCAAGTATTATTCTTTACAGAATAAAAAAATCAGGGCTTTAATTATCCAAGAAAATTTGCAGGAGGCCAAATTGGCCTTATTTCCAGTCACTTTAATTCCCAATCAACTGGTTTGTAGTTTATTCGGGCTTAAATATTGGAGAACATAACTACTCAAAAGAAGTTTCTTTGCTTAGTCCATATGGGTATTAGATGATATTGAATCCCTTATATTTTAGTGTAAATCTACAGAATAAAGATCGTGGCTTACCCTGATTTCAAGTTATTGATCTCAGCATACAGACTTAGATGAGAATGATTGATTTTAAGCAGTAATGCCCTGATTCAAAGCAGTACAGCTTGTTTTCCCCAGGACAGAAACTACCAATCATCAGAATAAATTTCTCTTGTAACATATTGAGGGGGGAAAATATAATTTGGATAAGGAAGTTGAAAAGGGGACAGGCTGAATTTATATTGCACTTGGGATACCCAAACTGACCACCTTCTTCTATCTGCTTCCATCATCCAACATCCCAGATGACAGGCTCAAGATCCAGATGGATCTTGACAGACTTGAACCCTGGGCCTTATCTAACAAAATAGAGTTCAATGTAGAGAAAAAGTAAGGATTTACACTTAGGCAAGAAAAACAGAATAGAATAGAATACTTTATTGGCCAAGTGTGATTGGACACACAAGGAATTTGTCTTGGTGTAAATACTCTCTGTATACAAAAAGAAAATATAAATTCATTAAGAATCAAGAATCATAACGTACAACACTTAATGATAGTCATAGGGTACGATCAACAATCAAATCATACTAGGAAACGGTCAAGATAAATCGTAAGGATGCAGGCGACAAAGTTAAGAATCAAATTTTTAGGTACCGATTAGGTGAAACCTGGCTCAAAAGCAGTAACTGTGAAAGGGATCCTGGAATCCTAGTGGATAACCACTTAAATATCAGCCAGCAGTGTGCGGCGGTAGCCAAAAAAGCCAATGCAGTGCAACAGAGGGATAGAATCAAGATCACATAAAGCAGGGGTGTCCAACCTTGGCAACTTTAAGACTTGTGGACTTCAACTCCCAGAATTCCTCAGCCAGCAAAGCTGGCTGAGGAATTCTGGGAGTTGAAGTCCACAAGTCTTAAAGTTGCCAAGGTTGGACACCCCTGACATAAAGTATTCGTGCCACTTTATAAAACCTTAGTAAGACCATACCTGGAATATTGCATCCAATTTTGGTCACATTATAAAAAGATGTTGAGACTTTGGAAAGAGTGTAGAGGGTAGCAATAAAAATGATTAAGGGCTTGGAAACTAAAACATATGAAGAATAGTTGCAGGGATTGGGCATGGCTAATTTAGTGAAAAGAAGGACCAAGGATGACATAATATTAGTCTTCCAATGTTTGAGGAGCTGCCAGAAAGAAGGGGGGGGGGGTGTCAAACTATTTTCCAAAGCAACAGAAGGTAACACAAGAAGCATTGGATAGAAACTAATCAAGGAGAAAAGCAACCTAGAACCAAGGAGAAATTCCTAACACTGAAAATAGAATTCTTTATTGGCAAGTGTGAGTGGACACACAAGGAATTTGTCTTCGGTGCATAAGCTCTCATTGTACACAAAAGCTATAAGTGATAAATCATGATCATAGTCATCACAAACACGTTCATCATAAATCATAAGATACAATACTTAGTGATAGTCATAGGATACTAAATAAGCGATCAACATAATCATGCTATGAAACGAAATAAAACAATATAAGTTGTAAAGATACAAGCAACAAAGTCATAGTGATAAGTAGAAAAGGAGATAGGTAATAGGAAGGATAAGAAGAAGAATAGTAATACAGTCTTAGTAAATAGTTTGACAGTGTTGTAGGAATTAGTTGTTTAGCAGTGTGATGGCATGCGGGGAAAACAGTCCTTGTCTCTAATTGTTCTGGTGTGCAATGCCCTATAATGCTGTTTTGAGGGTAGAAGTTGAAACAATTTATGTCCACAATGTGAGGGATCTGTAGATAGATATTTTCACAGCCCTCTTTTTGACCCATGCAGTATACAGGATACAGAAAACGATCAGCCAGCGGAATGGCTTGCCTTCAGAAGTTCTGGATGCTCCAACACTAGAGACTTTTAGAAGAGACAGGACAGACACTTGGAATAGGATCTTCTGCTTAAGCAGGGGGTTGGACTGCATGACCTCCAAGGTCCCTTCCAACTCTATTATTCTGTTACTCTGCTCATCACAAACTACAGTATAACTAGGGCATGTCCCAAGACTTAAGTGATCATTAGTTAACTTTTCGTAAGGTGAATGAAATAGAAGAAAACGAAAATATATTTGCAGGGGAAAAAAAAGTCTCTCATTTAGAAATAAATTAGGTTCTATGTTTCCTTTGGTCAAGCAAGGCCGAGGCATCGGAAGGTTAAAGATGGCCAACCATTGGCCGACCGAGATGCAATTAGCAATTCTTTCAGCTCAGCCCTTCCGCAGAGAATTATCGGCACTGCACAGCTGACAAAATAAGCTCTGGGAAATGCCTTTCCCTCCAACCCAGTCATTAAGCCAAAGCCTAAAAACCCAATTGCTTTCATTTGTCTGCTTCACTGCATCCCAAAGCAACGAGATCCTGTCCCCCTCCCTTTTTTTTTTTTTTTTTACATTTTGGCTTCTCGGGAACATCTCGGTCCTTTGTACCTAACAAAGTTTACAAACTTTTGGGGAAGCTTTTCAGTGGAAGTGAGTTTACAGGATTATGTCCTAGCACAAAGGGAAGGTTATACGCCATCATTATCCAAGCTGCGCAATTCGTCCCAAACAGAGGAAATTATTCCAATTTTATAGAAGGGTAAACTAAAACAGGAAACAATCCACTGGCAGAAGATCAGAGTGCAGCAGAGATCACACCGAAGAGGAATTCCAATTTCCTGGCTTCTGAATCCTGGTCCAAACCAATAGACCACACACAAGCACCTTCTTATTCTTTTTTTTTCTTCTCCCAAAGATTGTTTGTTAAACGAGGCAAGAAAAAAATAATAGCAATTGTCACTTTCTTCAACCAACTCAGCACTGGATGTTTTGCTGCTTTGAATAACAGGAAGAATTCTCTAAGCGTTTGTCCCAAAGGTGCTTTTTTCCAAGAGGCCACTGGATTTTCTGGATTTTCTTTGAGGACGTTTCGCTTCTCATCCAAGAAGCTTCTTCAGCTGAGACGAGAAGCGAAACGTCTTCAAAGCAAAAAGCAGAAAGTCAGTTGCCTCTTGAAAAAGCACCAGGACCGGAAGGACTGCGGATCTCCATAAGGCATCTCACTAAGCGTTTGCTTGTCTGGAATAAAATGATATAAATATTTCTTAATAATTGGGGAAGAGTTTACTGACTCTCTCCTGTCCCTCATTGGAACTAGGAGATGGGGTAAAGAAAAACAATTACAGGTGGTCCTCAACTTATGACCAGAATGGAGCCCAAACTTTCTGTTGCCAAGACAGACAGTGATTAAGTGAGCTTTGCCCCATTTTAAGAGCTTTCTTGCCACCGTTGTTAAACAAATCACTGCAGTTGTCAAGTTAGTAACATGGCTGTTAAGTGGATCTGGCTTCCCTTTATGGACTTTGCTTGTCAGAAGATCCCTAAAGCATGAGTCAGGGACACTGCAGCCATCATGAATATGAACCAGTTGCCAAGCATCTGTTGTGGTTCGCCAGCAGTTGGTGTGGACTGCTGAAGTCTCGGAGAGTGAGGACTCAGATGAGGGGCCTGCGTGTGATGCAGGGATGGGGCCAGGACCATCAGGGAGTAGAATGCTGCTTTCGGAGATTGTGGAGGCTGGCAGCAGTGATGAAGAGGCCCCCGAGGAGCCTGTGCCCAGTGCGCATGCACGCAGGGCTGCTTGAAGGAAAGAGCAGCTGCAGCAGCACAGGCGACTCGGGAGTAAGGCTGCAAGGTAATGGCCCCTGCCTTAAGAGATAAAAGCCAGCTGAGAAACCGGAGTTCTTTGCAGGAAGCAAAGAAGTTTTTGCACTCAAGCCTTGTGGACGTTCGGACTCTCTTAGTTTGTGTTTGGAGACTCTTCGTGTTTGAAATATTTCTTGGCAACTTTATCTAGTGTTCTTGGCAGCCTTGCACAACCTTGGCAAGGCTCGTTCTTATCAGAGACAATTAATTTGGAAACAGCCTTTTAACCGGGAAGGAACGGAGTTTGTAAAGAATCATGAAAAGGTTTTGCTGTTACCTCCGTTTGGGGTTGGTTTCCTTGGAACAAGGTTTAAGTCAGAACAGCATCTGAATTTTGATCATGTGGCCATGGGGATGCTCTACCAATTTTGAGCAAATGGAAGACGCTATCATGTCACCCCTAGTTGTTCTTTTCCTTGAAGGAGACATACCCGATTCCTGCAACCGTTCTTCCTATGTTATAGCCTCCAGTCTCCTAATCATCTTTATTGCTCTTTTTCTGCACTCTTTCTAGAGTCTTAACATCTTTTTCTACATCACAGCAACCAAACTGGATGCAATATTCCAAGTGTGGTCTTCCCAAGGCCTTATTAAGTGATAATACTTAATGTGATCTTGATTCTGCCCCTGTTATTGTTACCCCTAGAACCGTGTTGGCTTTTTTTGGCAGCTGCAGCACACTGCAGGTTCATATTTAAGCGACTGTCCACGAGGTTTCCAAGATCCCTCTCACAGTTATTACTATTCAGCCATTACTGTACTACTGTTGTGAGGACAACAAGAGTTGAGCTAGAATGAGGATAAATTATACTTTGCTCTTTATACATAACAGTTGTATGTCAAAAATATGTGCACCCCAGTCAAATTATATATTTCAAAGAATCCCTATTAAAACCTGACATAATCTTTGGTATGTGGTACAAAGCTAAATGTACAGTATTTCTTCTCAAGCTTGCATGCCATTTATAATGAGCCACGGTGGCGCAGTGGTTAGAGTGCAGTACTGCAGGCTACTTGGAATTTGCCGGCTGCCTGCAATTTGGTAGATCGAATCTCACCAGGCTCAAGGTTGACTCAGCCTTCCATCCTTCCGTAAAATGAGGACCCAGATTGTTGGGGGCAAGAGGCTGACTCTGTAAACTGCTTAGAGAGGGCTGTAAAGCATTCTAGAGCGGCATATAAGTCTAAGTGCTATTGCTAGAAGCAGTTCTTCACGGATTCAAAGAACACAGTGCCTCTGGCGGATGCAGAAGTTTCAACACCTTTTTAGCCAGTACTTGATTTCAACCTATGGCAAAAATAGCAGGTAGCAAACATTTTCTACAGCCAGCTAAGAACCCATTTATTCTAACCTTTGAGATTTTCTCCCCAACCTCCCCCATGTGACTCTTCCAACTACTCTTCCATGTGCTGAATGTTTGAGAGTCCTCACGGATTTGCAATCTGGGGACTGTGAAGGCCACTCTCAAACCTTGATTTTTGTTTTCTATAAGCGTTTCGTGGTAGAGTTGGTGGTATGTTTCAAAGTAACAGTGTTGGAAGGGATCTTGGAGGTTATCTAGTTCAGTGTTCCAAAACAATTCCAGCGTTGCGGCCTGGGGGAGGGGGGGGAAGAGAGGGGATGGCTCTGAATGATTGACAGGCAGGTGCATGTTCATGCGCGGTTCCATTGGTGAGAGCGACGGGCACACACGCACGCAGCTCGCACAAATGGAGCACATGTGCATGGGCTTGCACGCTCCTCACACAAGTGGGGATGCATGGATGGATGCACCGGCCACTTCCACAGCCCGGTTCCAAACAGCTCAAAGCCCGATAGTGGGCTGCAGCCTGGGAGTTGGGGACCCCTGTTCTGGTTCAACCCTCTACTCAGCAGAAAACTCTATACCCGTGACGGCGAACCTATGGCACGCGTGCCAGAAGTGGCACGCAGAGCCATCGCACATGCCTGGACTTTCGGCACGTGAGGACGAAAAGGTTAGCCATCACTGCTCTATACCATTTCAGGCAAATGGTTGTCCAAACTCTTCTTAAAAATCTGCAGTGTTGGAACCAGGGGTGGGATTCAATTTTTTTAACAACCGGTTCTGTGGGCGTGACTTAGGTGGTGGGCGTGGCTTGGTGGTCATGTGACTGGCTGGGTGCGGCCAACTCAACATCACTCACATCGAGGCATGCATCTCCTCGCCTGGCCTCTCATGAATGTGAGGATGCTGCAACAGTCGAAAGTGTGAAAAATGGCCATAAGTCACTTTTTTCAGTGCCATTGTAACTTTGAATGGTCACTCCATACAAGCAAAGTACCAGCAAAGGAGGAGAAATAACTCCAGAGACGTTCCTGAGACAGGAAGTCTAGTCCTGCCAAGAATGTAATAAGGGTTAACGGAGAGGCAGTTTCTGTAAGCAACACCAGAATGTTTCCTTCCTGCCTTCCTGACAGGATTAGGCCAGTAATTTCTTCTAACAACCGGTTCTCCGAGCTGCTTAGAATATTAACAACCAGTTCTAGTGAATAGGTGCGAACCAGTAGTATCCCACCCCTGATTGGAACACCCACAAATTGTTGCAGTCAAATTGTCCCACTGATTAATTGTTCTCACTGTCAGGAAATTTCTCCTTAAGTTCTAAAGTTGATTCTCCCCTTGATTAGTTTTCATCCGTTGCTTCTTGTCCTGCCTTCAACTGCTTTGGAGAATAGATTGACCTCCTCTTCTTCGTGGCCCTGATCTTAAGGGGTTTTTGTGGCAGCCCCTGAAGATCAGAGTATTTCAGATCAGTCCTTTTCTGCAAAACCAAACTTCTTTTCCATTTCCATTTCTTCGTACCTCAAGGGATCCATTTCTGACCAGGGATACCTCAACTTTTGCATACAACTCTATGTAGGATAAAATGATCCCTGAATTATGTATTGTGAAAGGCCAACCAGGAAGCGTAAGAACAAACGTTCTGCAGGACGATTAAAAACAACAACAACCCCTTTTGGCCAAGTTCCATTGCCCTTTCTTCCATTGGAATAATTCAATATTTACCGTAAGAGCCTGGGTTTTTCTCCTCATAGGTGAAATGAAGCTGCAGTTCCTCTTCTGACATCTGACAGAGTAAAACTTTCAGCAGGCAGCAAATAATGAACAGAGCGTTCTGAGCCTGCCAGATAAAGAGGTGGCTGGAAGAGAAAGAGGAGTTTCAAGAGCCTGTATACCAAACATAGAGGAGGAAAATAACTTTCAAGGTACAGCTAGTCCTCGACTTACAACCATTTGTTTACTGACCGTCCAAAATTATAACGGCACTGAAGAACGCGACGCATGGCCGTTTTTCAGACTTACGACCATTGCAGCAATCCCCAGTCATGTGATCAAACTTCAGGGGGCTCGGCCACTGGCTTGCGTTTATGATGGTTACAGTTGCCCTGGGGTCATGTGAACGCACCTTTTGAGACCTTCCGACAAGCAAAGTCACTGGGGAAGCCAGATTCAGCTTACAACCACCATGTTACTAAGAACTGCAGCAATTCACTTAACAACTGTGGCAAGAAAAGTCATAAAATGGAACAAAACTCACTTAGCAGCTCTCTCACTTAGCAACAGAAATTTTAGGCTCAATTGTGGTTGTAAGTCGAGGACTACCTGCATTTGTTACAATACATGCATGACATTAAATGCTCATTTATTATATCTATCTATCTATCTATCTATCTATCTATCTATCTATCTATCTATCTATCT